TGCTAGCAGCCGGGGGTCTCTGCCCATGCAGGGGCTGATCCCAGGACACCGGACAGGGTGTATCTCCATACCAAGTTCCTTTCATCTATGGCTGAATATAGCCAGATTTTCTCACAACCTTAAAAACGCCAGGAAAGGAAGTTTTTTTCTCTTGGCAGCTCCCATTTTTTTTTGGAAAACTCCCCCAGCTTTGAAAAACAAGCCAAAGCTATATTTGCTTCTGCTCTGTACATCCCGCTCATGAGTGAGATGACTTCTGTTCTCACACAGTAGATATTTTTATATATGACATGGTCTCTTGTTAAATGTATTTGTAAAATCATCGTTTTATTCAACTTACCCTTTGAAGTCCTGGAGTGTTATGGTGTCTCCCAGAAAACTTAAGAAGTTCTTGAAGGCAGTGCTCTCTTCATTATTGCCAAACAACTCTTCCTCTTGGGTCTACAGAACACAGGGCGCATCTTTTGAGGGTTGCCCACTGGCACTACCGCACTCCGCCACCGGCACCAGCTGTGGGCCCACTCACAGCCACCACGGCACCCACAGGCAAAGGTGCTGAGAGCAGTTTCTGACCAACAGCAAGGGACCTTGGGATAACGTTCCAGGAATACCCAAACACAGATGAACTCCCCAGTGGAAAACCCAAGTCTTAATCATCCCTTGCATGCTACATTTCAAAACAATGAGACCTTAATTATGGTCTTGCATGAGTTACTCAATCCAAAATAAAATGCAGTATGTAAAGATAATTAGAGTGCCTGTCAGAATAATCTTGGGTGAGTTATACGACGCAGCTGCCTCTGCACTCCCCAACCGGAGTCCCTCGGCTACTGACAGCATTTTCAGCAAACACATGCCTTCATAGCCCACAGTCCAAGACAAATGTAACTGTTTCACTGTCTAAACTTATATCAGATTAAAATACCATGCCTGCTAGAATTCATTTTCACATCCACTTTTCCTTACGGCAGCTTGTTGGCTGATTTCCATATTGAATTTTTTCAGTCACATCGTTTTTTAATGAATCAGGCAAACCTCCGAGCAGTAAGAAATGCGCCATTAGTGAGGACATGGGTGGCACGCGACAGAATGAAGCGCAGGGCTGAATTTCAGCTTCGGGGTCCCGCCCCTGCGAAAGGCAGAGCTATGGCAAGCAGGGGCGTGCTGCAGGAGACGGCGATTGCTCACCTGCCTGAACTTCTGATAGATCACACCAAACTTGAAGGTGTTGTTGACCTCATGTTCATCATAAGACACGATCATTTGGGACGCCTGCAGTGAATCAAAGTAAAAATTATTTCATTTGGTAGTGCAACACCCAAGGGAGCGGAAGGGGGGCAAAAGCCAAATTTCCACATAATCAGGCCAAACACTTTGAACAGCAGCCCCGGGTTTGTTTATCCATGTCCCTACAGCCTCCGCTCTCAACAGTCCGCCTGGATGCCCACCGGCTTCGGGTGGGCACGAGCTGCAGCTCCGGTGCCCAGGCACGGTGGAGGGCTGCGGGGAGCCCCAGCCACTCGCAGGTTTTTCTGGGTGACGTTTGGGGTGCTTTGGTGCTAATAACAGCAGTTCCTGCAGCACCCCAGCTCCACGGTCCCAGCCCTGCTCTGCAGGGACCGAGCCAGAGACACTTTTGTTCCCCAACTAGGCATTGGCTGTTCTCACACTTCCAGATAAGGGTTTGATTGCAACACCAATAATGACGATGGATGAATAAAATCAGTTTGACCTTGGCTACATCAAAGGGTGGTGGAACTGCCTTATAACTTACTGCTGTGCCTGCCACAGAAAAGGTCTTCCACATAAAAGGTACTTGTAAATGATGGATTTGCTTTGTACCTTCCCAGGAGCGGGTCTCTATGGCAGCACAAGAGCGCACACAAGGAGAAGCAACTCCAGAGCGGACGAGGAGTCAGTTCTGGTACATCACCAGCGGGGACTACCACCCGGATAAAACACTCCGTCCCCTGCAGTGACCCACCCGGCTCTGCATCTCTTCCAGCAGCGCTTCTCAAGCACAGGCTCAACCCGTCTCACCGGGTTTCAAGCAAACCTTAAGGCATCAAACCAAGATCCAGGTTGGTTTTACACTGCACAGACCATCGCCTTTCCCTCCTCCCCCATGACCCAAGGGCAGATCAGTACTGAAGTGCTATCAGGCTTTGGTGGCCAGCTGACAGAACAAGACAGTGGCATGCACGTGCCACCAGACAGACGTTAGCTAACCGTCTGCCGGGTTCATGCACGGCCCACCACCGCTGCACTGTTCACATCCCCTTTGCAGACAGGTACAAAGGTAGAGAGCTAGAACAATGCAGTACAAATACCCATGCTCTGTATCAGAGTAACCACTGGATCTTGAAGAAAAGGGGAGAATTAACCCTATCTGACCTCCTCAGCTGAATACACAAGCAACTTAGGGTAAGATACCTCACCTTGGGGTACAGAACTGGGTTAAACCTCAGCCCGGAGGCGTCGTCGCAGAATGCCTGTGGGCAAGGGGAAAGAGCAGTCAGTGCCGGGTCCCCGAGTGCACGGAGCAGACACCCCTGTCCCGCCAAAACTCTATGGCAAGTCTCTGAATATCTAAAAAAGGAGCTAACTCCAGGCTCCAATTGCAGGAGCTCCCCTCTTCATATCTTCTCTTCGGGGTGCCCTGCGACCTGGCTGGTACCCAACTGATGATTCAGGAAGACAAGTCCCAGGTCTCTCCACGGGTCAAAGGTGCTGCCACTTCCTCACCTCTTGCCCCAGATATCAACAAGTGACCTGCCTGGGATCAGAAAAAAAAAAACCAATAGTCAGTGCACACCACCACCTGCCAAGTACCCCCGGACCTGAGAGCCCAGGTACTGCTGTCCAATGCCACCTAGTGCTGCCCAGCACTGCTCAGTGCCACCCAGCGCTGCCCAATGCTGCCAGTTCACAGACTGGTTTGGGTTGGAAGGGACCTTAAAGATCATCTAGCTCTAACCACCTTGCCATGGGCAGGGACACCTTCCGCTAGACCAATGCTGCCCAATGCCACTCACCACTGCCCAGTGCCACCCAATGCCACCCAACACTGCCCAGTGCTGTTCACTGCCACCCAACACTGCCCAGTGTCACCCAATGCCACCCAACACTGCCCAGTGCCACCCAGTGCCACCCAATGCCACCCAAGGTGCCAAGCTCAGCAGCACAGGCTTTGCTGCAGGTATCCCAGCCCGGCATTTTACCTTTGCAATCTGGGGGATAGTAGGGAGCTTGCTAAGTCCTGCCAGCGGGATCCTTTCATGCAATGTCTTTACTTTGGACCTAGCAAAGCAAAAGAAATGAGCAGACATCAGGGAGTGTCTAAGGCAAAGAGATGCCGGCTGCAGCCCCCCCGCTTGCCAGCCCTGCAGCATGCACGCAGCGATGCTCCGCCGGCTGTTGGGAAATGACATTCTGGAGAATTTGTTGGGCCTGGTTAGTAAGCAAAGCCTCATTTTTTCTTGTCATCTCTGCAGCTCTTAAAATATTCATAGTTTGGTGGGAAATGACATAACAGTTCAGACACGCTGGGTCTTGTCAGCTTACGGAGGGATGGCGATAGATGTGATGGGTATAATCCCGTGTCACGGAGGGGTTTACACTCAGTTTCAGTGGGTTTAGCACCAGATCAAAGTCTCACGTTCATTATCGGGGGTCGGGCAGTCCCAGTGCAGAAACAGTAAAAGGATGAATGTGAAGCTTCCCGTTGCACCCTGAGCCCCGCCATGTGTGGCAGCCTGCATGCTGCCAGCCCAGCTCTAGCATTTACAGTAGAAACAAAAGCAAGGGACTCCCAGAGAGAAAATGTTTTGCTAAACAAAGGGGGTTTTTTTTCCATACCTGAGTATAATCCTTAAATATTCTGTGCCATCTGCCTCCTCACACTTAATGGAAAGGATCAGATTTCCCAGGCTGCTGGCTGTACAATAAAAATTTAAATGATCCTAAAAATAGAAAACAGCTCGTTAGCGGCGGGGGAGGCAGCTCGCCGATGGCACAGACGCTGCCCCACACTCCAGCCGGGAGCAGAGGACTCACATGCCATCCCAACACCCTCCCGCTCCTTGGGGACACACACTCGCACCCCCTCCTCGTGGGGGCCAGGCTTTAATCCCTCTACCCATGGACTTTAGCACTCTGCTCTCAGCTTTGTTCAGAGGGAGAAAGAGGATTACAAGACCGTGAGAGAGAGGGCAGGCAGGCAGCTGCCACCCCGGGGCCCTCGATGCCAGCCGAGCCCCAGGTCCCCGCAGACAGGACAGGCTGAGCCAGCGTACCCTCCCAGCACCTCCCGGCCACGGCCGACATGGCAAAGGCTCTGTGCATGGCCATCGCTGCCACGGCTGTTCGCCCACCGGCCTCTCCTCTGCCTGCCAAGTTGCAAAATAGGCCTGTTTTGCTCATAATTTTAGAATTTCTTTTTTTGTTTTCTTGGGGTGTGTGTAATTGTCAGCCAACTGCTTGTCCCCCGCGGCAGGGGCACCCACCTTCCCCAGGAAATGCTTCCTGTAGGCTCTGGCCTCTCCTTTGCACTCCAGCTTGTAGCCGTAGGTGCTGGGGCTGAGGTTCTCCTCCTCCTCCTCGCAGATGCTGCTGTCAGATGAGGTGGGTGTGCCAAGGTTTTCCGGGTCTTCGATCCAGTATCCCCCAAACTGGGGCAGGATGATCAGCGGGTACGGGCTGCCCTTCTCTAGGATCTGCAGAAAAACGTGCCTGTTGCAGGGTCAGACAGGACCGGGGTGCGGATGCGGGATGCAGCGGCTCATCGGCCCATGTCCTGCTGCCCCCTCCCACAGCAGCACCCAGCCCTGGCACTGCGGGGGGCAGACCTAGCCCCTCTCTAAAACATCCCTCTCTCCTAGAGAGGGCAGGAGCTACCGAGGAAAAGCAGCAGCTGCAAAGGTGGGGAGGGGGAACGTGCTTTGTGCAGCTCCTCTCAGAAACATGATCACCACCGATTCCCCTGTTATCAGCGCGTTTGGAAAGGCATTTGCCGGAAGGCGTTCAGGGCGGTTCAGGGCACCCACCTCATCGATGCTGGGGTACGGGATGTAGTCTTCCTAGAAAAAGGAAGCAAAACACTGCGTATGACCAGCTGTTCCCCACCAGCCACCCCTTAAGACCACAGCCTTGCACATCCAACCCAGGGAGCGCTTCCAGACGCCGGATGCACTGCTCCCTCCCGTCCTCCTGCCTGGCTCTGAGTACCAGGCGGTAACGGACAGCAATGCTCGCACCGCACACGGCGATGGGCACAGGCCCGGGGACCCCTGCCCACTCTGGGTCTGCAGGAAAGCACTGCAGCAGGAGAAGCCCTTCCCCAGAGCGGTCTCTGCGGTGTAAGCTTCTCAGCCCTACGGCGGAACCCCACCGTTTTACAGAGCTCGCTGCTGAAATGCACAGGTTTGGACATAAAGCTGGATTAGGGATTTACAGGCGCCACTCCCTCATCTTTGCAATTCAATCAGTGCCTTGTTTTTAGACAACATTTAAATCCTTTTTAGTCCTCTGAGTGACTGTCTTTGACAATACGCATTAAAGCCCTGAGATAAGGCGGGGGATGTTTGAAGAGATCCACACGAGAAACAAAATTCAACCAACCTTATGTTTTTGGCTTCCACTCCTCTGTTCTTCAAGTTTTGGTGCCTGTTTTGGAACAAAACAAATAGATTAAATAATTAAGAGGTTTTCAGCACCACAGATGAAACCACAAGGGTATTTTGCCAACTGATTGGAATCACGCTGACATGACTGGCATGGAAGGACGTTTCTACATTTCTACCTGGGACAAGCCGGGCAGAGCTGCTGGCATGCCAGGACAGACCCCCTGGTAACACAGCAAAAAAGGGTGAGGAGGATGTTGTAGGACAAGACGCAGACACAGCGACACCGTGCTGAAAACGTCTAAACACAAGGCAGGGGCTATTGCTTCCAAGGTGCTGGCACAGCACCAAGCACAAGAAGTCCCACATCCCACTCCAGCTTCATCTCAATTTCCCTGAGATGGGCTCCTAAAGAAAATCCTTGCAGCACCTGCCTGCGGAGCGAGGAGAACAAAACTTCTCGGAGAAAGACCCTGCCTGAACCACTGCTCTCCCCCCCGGCGCGCTGGGGTGCTTCCGTGCAGCTCCCTCCTGCAAGGCTCGAGCTGGGAAGCGCCCGCTGTGTCCCCGTTGGGAAGGCTCACGCAGCGCTGGGGAGCTCAGCAATAATTCAAACAACGTTATGGTCGTACAAGGTTGTTAACTGTACGAGAGGCTGTGGGATCTCTGTCCTTACAGCCCTGCCATGTGGGGAACATCCCGTGTTACTGGCATGCTGCTGCTCACCTGCATTTTTTCCAGCATTTCGAAGAACTCTGCCGACTGAAAGAGAAAAGAGGGAAATCTCCTGTCCGATGAAAGCAGACACGAGGCGAGCCAGCCCAAGCCACATCAAGGCAGGAACACCAGACCCCCCCGCCCGTACAGGCATGCTAGCTGCCCCCCAGCAGGAACAGGAGGAAGGGAATCTCTCTATAACCGACGGCATGTGTCTCCAAGACACCCCAGCAAGGACGGAGCGCCGCAGCCAGCCCAGGCTCCCAGGGCTGGTAGCCATTCCACACCAAGTGCCCCTACCACTGCCGCGGGCACACGCGGAGCAGAGAGCAGCAGCGGCTCCCCACCTCCGTAACAACTCGGGCTCTGCACTTCATTCCCAAAAAACCATGAGAGGACAAGCCAAGTGATGCTGTGATGCCTGTCCCGCTCCCCGCTCACAAGCAGACGGCTCCAGCCACGGCAGCACCTGTCCAACCTGACTGAGAGCTCCGACATCGCTGCTGCAGGTCCCCATCACCAGTGACACCCCCAACAGCCCCCCAGCCTGCTCTCTGTATGGTCTGATAATGGCTCTTTAGTCGTTTCTTCTACCCACAGCAGTGCTGGCACCATCTCTTTGGGTTCCTTTTGTCCCCTGGGTGTTTTCGCAGGTCTCTAAGTCCATGCTTCCCAGCTCCGTGGGAAAGGGAGCTAGAAAAGGGAAAGCAGAGCACTGGTGCAGTCCTGCCCTGCCGGCCATGGGAGAGCTGGGAAGGAGGGGAGGGAAGGTGAGCAACCGCTGTGGCCACGCTGCCCCTGCTCCACCATGTGCCTCTCGCGAGCGCCAGATCGCGGAGGTCAGGCAGGGAGGAAACCCAGATGGCTGCCAAGCACCGTGGGGCACATGGCTGGGCCATGGGTGTGGAGACTGCTGAGGATGTGGGGCAGAGCCAACCTGCTGCGGGCAGAGGGATGGGTGCGTCCAGGATGGGTGCCCCCGCTGTCCTGCTGCTGCTTTGCAGGGCCCCTGGCAGGAGAGGGCTGTGCACACAAACCAGCACCAAAAAATTTAATTCTGAAAGGAAACTGCCCCAGACTGATCGATCCAAAAAAGCAAATGAACACTCTGGCATCGGAGACACCTAGAGCAGCCCTCCCCGGCTCCTTACCTTGCACGGCGCAAGCCCTGAGCTCTGCGTTTCACCAGCTGCCGAAACAGCGGCGATGCCGCTGCCGGCGGGGCTGGGCTGTCCTGCGCAGGGTTAATGGCCTACTTGCCAAGCCAACTAAAGAGATTAGCGAGCCCCGGGCTCCGATTAAAAATCCTGTGTGGTTCCTCTGGAGAGCAGCCCAAACCTGGAGCCAGGGAGCTCATCCTGCTGCCTGAGCACGCCACTCCCTGGATCGAGGGCTGTGGCCTCTGTCCCCGACTGTCCCAGTCCCACCAGGAAGCGGGATCAGCAGGTCTGATCCTGACAGCTATCAGGAATGTTTCTGCGTGCAAGGGATGTGAGATTTGTGGCAGAAGGTGTCACGATACCAAGGAGAAAGGCACAGGAGGGTGATTCTTAGGGAGCTCTTACAACAGACTGCATTTCAAAAAAGGCAAAAAAAGAGAGAAAAAAACAAAGGAGAAGATGAAGAAACGAAAATCAGACAACACCAAAAGGAAATCTCTCCGAGGCTTTTCTCTGAATAAACGTGCCAAGCAAAGGTTAGTTTTATGGCGCGAGCAGCAGTGCCGGCCCTCGGTGACAGCAGCGGGATGGGAGGAGAGGTGCTAGCACGAGCAGGGACTGCCAGGCTCAGGAGCAGCCCTGGCTGTGTTTGTAGCTTCAGACTATGCCTCGTTTCTACCTAATGCACCTATGGGAGGAAAAACGAACGCTGGGCTCAGAAGAGCTCTGTGCCCAAAGCTGGAAGCACTTTAAGAAGGCTTTTCCGTATTTTGAGCTTGGTTTGGATTCCAGCTTATCTTCAGCTCTCTGCAACGGACAAATGCTCTCTGCAGTGAGCATGCTACACCCCAGGTCCCGCTCTGCCAGCAGCCAGAACCAGAGAACCAGCCCGCAGAGCAGCACCGGATCCACCTGCTAAAGCAAGTTCCCGCAGAAAATGCGCTCCTAAAGCAGACAGCAGTCTGTACCCTTCCGGGATTTATGCACACCTAAAGCCAACTTTACCAGGCCACAAGTATTTTGGTAATTCCAGCGAAGACAACTACAGCTTTGTGACGTGCGGCGTGTCACCTGCCGTGGGCCCAGCCGGCAGGAAAGGCTGCACACCCGCTCGGGTCCACGAGACCGCCCGCTCCAAACTAAACCTGCATCTGCTTTATAAAGGCGACCAAAGGCAACCCCCGAGCGGACAGCCCTTTCCCCTGGCACCTTCCGCAGGACAAACCTGCTCCATCGCTTGTCCTAACGACCTCGAAATGCAAAATGCTCAAGCCGAAATGGCACAGTTGCTATTCCTTTCCTGCTCACATCCCAGTGAGCATGCTACACTGGCAGGGCGAGAAGGGATGGACAGGCACATCCCAGCGCTTCAGCTCGGAAAAGTCCTTCATTCCTCTCCGTCAGCACCAGGCAAAGCACCAACTCAGAAGCTGAGCTGCTGGAGCACACGATGTCTGTTCCACCGCTGCAGCACCCCCGGGGCGAGTTCAGGGAGCAGGTACCTGCAGACAGGAGCGCTCGGAGCAGAAGCTGCCGCAAAGCCTCTAAGTGCCTACTTTGAAGGTTTCTGAAGAAAATGACACCCAGAAAAAAAACCCTGCACCTGGTGGGAACCACCAAGAGTGGAGCCCCGTGGGGCAGAGCTCTGCCCAGCAGCCCTCCCCAGCGGGTCAGTGAGCACCTACCAGCAGGCCCCGTAAGAAATCCATCACCTTCCCAGCACCATCTCCCCACAGCAGCCACACCGCCACAGCTCTGCCGCAACCAGACTTCCTCGTGGGCACCCGGTGAGAGCGGCTGGGTGCCAGCCCGGTCATCCCTTCCCAGCCCCGACACCTCCCTTCGTTAATGTTTCTCCACGCCAGAGCTGCTTTGTTATTTCAAAGGGTGGCTCCCCTGGGAGGCAAAGTGCCCAAAACAGGTGGGGCAGGAAGCGGGCAAGAGTTGGAAGGGGACTGCCAGGCGCCTGCTGGGATGCACAACAGCCCTGTGGGAGGATGCACGGCCCCACACTGGGATGCATGGCCCCACAGCAGGATGCACTGTGCCCCTTGGCGGGACGCTCACCTGGGAGAGCTGCAGAAGGAGCTGGGTGCTAGGCAGGAGGCAGAAAATCCAACTCTTCAGCTGGAAATCTGTATGCACAAAAAAGCCATAGCACTTGCAAAGGAGCTGAACAAATCCCAACTGCACACGCTCCCAGAGTCAGCTCAGGACAACCCAGCCCACTGACCCAGAAGCTGCAGGCGCACCAGCACCAACAGGGCTGTCCCATCCCAACACCACCTGGGGAGGAGGCAGGACACGACTGCTTCGGCCAAAACACCTGCACAGTTGTGACAGAGCACGGGCAGTCTCAGGTCACAGAATCACAGAATCACTAAGGTTGGAAAAGACCTATAAGATCATCCAGTCCAACCATCAACCCAACACTACCAGACCCACTAGACCATGTCTTCACCTTGAACACCTCCAGGGATGGTGACTCCACCACTTCCCTGGGCAGCCTCTTCCAATGCCTGACAGTACCAGTTGCCACAGACTTGTTCCTATCCCTGCTCCCAACACCCATACCTACCCCCTGTCCCTCTCCATGACACTAAGTCTTACACAGACCTCTGGGAAGCACCTTAAAGTCTACCAAGAGCAGGGAAGAGCAGGGAAGAGCACTGAGGATACCAACTCAATGCACTCACACTGCGCAGCATTCCATCACAGGCTCTGTTACACCAGCGCTGAGCGACCGCCTGGCATCCCCAGTGCTGACTGGGGACCAAGCCAGTACCTCCAGAAAGACCAGGTCTCTGGCTCCCAACCACAAGTCACCCAGGTTTCCCTTCCTGAACCTGATGGCTCCTTAATGCCTGACATCTCCTCTCCCGGGCATCTCCAGTTCCATTTCTTAAATGTCGGCAAACACATACCCAGCCCCTGCCTTTCAAGAGCCAATGGCAGCTGATCCCAAAGTGGCAGCAAGGGCACCGGGATGCTTCAAGCAAGCAGACACACAAACGAACCCAGTGGCCCACAGAGAGCCCCTGGCCTGAAGACCATACACATTTATTTCTGTTTGGCACCTCTGGAGCTCCAGGTGCCTGGCAAAGCATGGGCAACCACGACCGCGGAGGCTCTGCCATCCTCAGCGCCACGCGGAATGAGGGATGGAGGGAGGGAGCACATGCCGCGGGGTCCCAGCTCTGCCTCGCTTTTCCAAGAGACAACCTGAGCCATCTGCAAAAGATTCTGTAGCCCTTTAATCCTGCTGTAAAGTAGAACAAGTCAGTAATCACCTTTTAATTGCTTTAATTATGTAATTATACAGACGAAGAACCAGGAGTGAAACAGGCAGCCTCCAGCCCTGCCCGTGGAGACCCATGTCCTCAGCCAAAGCCATTTCCAGCCTCTCCCCCAGCCACAGAAGCCACAGCGAGAGGGGCCCGTTGCAGCTTGTGATGCAAGAAGACACAGCCATCTTTGAGACGCACAAAATCAAAAGACCTCAGCGTTTGCTTTTGGGGAGCTTACATTACTTGAAGCATATGCAGTAGCATCTACATGCTTTTTCCACATCAGGCTTTCCATAGGTTTCCATGCCAAGTTTCTCATGCTGAGGGAAGCCTTGAACTGAAGTTTAAACGCCTCTGAATAGCCCAATCTCCCACTGCCCCACATCACCCCAGCTCCAGCCAAGGAGCAGACATACCCCCCCCGCCTGCAGCTGGGGTGGGGACCCATAACCCCCCCTGCAGCAGCACCCGGACAGGGAGCAGACCCCAGCACCAGGACCACCTCTGGACAGGTGGGCTCGGTCTGCTTGGCTCGGAGGCTCATTAAAAGGCACAATTTCCATTTAAAACATGACAAGGGCAAAGGCAGAACCTCTCC